TTACTGTCTCAATTTATATTGCACCACTTCAATAATTCAAAGTGATATATAAAAGTCAATGAAATTTGCCATACCTCGGGTCATTACGATGCCTGCCAGGGATTTGTGCCGAGCGTGCACAGGACTGCAGCCGCCCACCAGCGACCGGTACTTCTCCCTCACCAAGTGGAATATTGAATCAGCAAAGTCCTGAAAAACACAATCGCTCCCTTAATTTCTACTGGACACAATCTGTGGAGACCGACTACCCGGGTTTAAATTTGCTGCACTTGGTTAACCTGTTCAGGTAAACAGAGTGAGGTTTAGGGAGATTATCCTAAAAGCCAACTTACCTGTTTAGCTATGAGTGCATAGAGATCATCGAAATGCTCGAGGCATCAGTATAAAAAAAGATTTCCAACAGTAGCACACAGCAACTTGATTATTATTGAAAGGTTTCAGCTGGAAAGCTCTACACACAGTATTATTAATTCAATGATACCTGATAGCCATGAGTGTTTTAGATCTTAGATGATGCATTTAATCTGTATATCCTCGTCTGGTTGTTAAAGAGACACAACATGCACATTTTGTTAAGCTCTTCCCTACTTAACCTTCCCGCTTACATGATCTGACAAAGCAGTGTTGCAATTGTGATGCAAATGTAAAGTTTTCATTGAGCAGCCATTAACTTTAACAGCAGAAGAGTTGGCTATATGCTGTCATGTACTCATTATCGTTTCTGCCAGCATATCCCAAAATAAAAGCCACTTGTCCCAGACCCCATTGTTTCCTGTCTGACTTCACTGGAGTGCACGATCGTGCTGGACACCATTTTTCAGTTCTCATTTCCTCCACCATCTGCCATTTGGAGCGCCTCTAAAAACTTGCCGTTTTTGCTTCTCGGTCTGACCGACATTACACATGCTGATTTACTGGAGATAAATGCAAAGTATGAAATAAAACTGTGCTCTCTATGTACATTTACCCCTCCACCTCCGACTCAACACTTCTCACCAGACATCCACTAAATCCACACTGTTCACCAGATGTTTGCCGAGACATGGGCACGGTTTTCGCACCCTTTGGAATTTTTAATGCTCTTTACTCGAGTAGTAATTAAGGGCTTAGTCTCCAAGCAGTCTACACGCCAACTGTAGAGCGCAAACGGATCACTGGGAGATGGCAACAGAGTGGCAGTGGAGTGGGCCTTTTGGACAGATTGAAGCCCGCAGTGGCTAAAAGGACATCAACAGATGCCACAGTAACAGACGTACAGAGTGAGAGAGGAGCAGAGAGATTAAGGGCAAACAGAAAAAAAGGCGAGGAGAGCAAATGAATGAGCATATTGCACATTATAGCCCTCGTCAAGGCTGTGAAATACTCTCACAGTAGGAACTGGCGGTGGAGGTGCTCACAGCTTGTGCTGCGATGGGTGGCGTGTGGGTGTGTATGTATGGACACGGGCATATTGGTGCTTTGACACCGGTGTCAGCCCGAAGCTTTTTCGGTGAGTAGAACAGGAAGGAGCAGTGAAAAGTCATCACGGTCAATAACTTAGCACAGAGGTTCTCAGCTAACAGTTGGTGACAGGTCAAAACTGAGGCGAGTCTCCTTATTTTTAACAACAGGCAACGAAGACAAGAAAAGACACATTTCCTCTACCGCTATTTACTTGATGCTTGGCTAACACTTCACTGTTACTCGGCATTGCTGCCAGTTTTCGGTTTTACAGTCGGCGGCAATGATCAGTAAACATCCTCATTCCAGATTCACCTCTGAAATATAGTTATAAGGCATATTTTGCTTTGTCATGCCAAAAGACATTTTAAAGCCAAGAAACTCTTCACGAGACAGCTCAAAACCAAATAAACAGTTTGGGACATGGACTATGACGATAATGTTTTACATGTGTCAGAAGTGAATAAACAGGTATACAAAAATGCCTCTTTTTTCAATTCAAGACAGTTTTAAAGGTGCAAGGAGGTACTGTACCTATCCAGAGGTTGGTGCTTGGATCCCTGGCGGCTCCTGCATGTATCCTAAGTATCCTTAGGCAAGATACTAACCCCAAATTGGTCTCTGATGCATTCATTGGAGTATGAACACATGTGTATGTTAGATAGAAGACACTTGAATAAGACATGCTGTATAAAGAGCTTCGAGTGCTCGAGTAGAAAAGTGCCAGTGCATTTACAATTCATCTTATATTACTCTAGACAGTCTGCACTGCCAAATATTGCACACAGTCAACCCTCATGATGATCTACTGGAACAACTGCACAACATTTTGGACTGTGCCTCCAGTCCAAAAGAAAACTGGAATCTTCTGGACTCCATCATGGCCGTTTGCCAAGAGTTTCAGCCAACACAACTGCTTGGTTTACAACACGAGCAGCAGAAGGTCAGAATTATAGAGTCGTTAAAAAAGAAGAATAACATCTCTGGCCTTTCTTTCATGTTGGACAAACACAAAGCAAGGGTAGCATCCACATTCTGATAGATATCCAACCATTTTCTGTTGCTTATCCGGGTCTGATCTACAGGGCAGCCCTTCTTCTCCCCAGCCACCCACCCCAGCTGATGAGGGGACACCAAGCCATTCCCAAGTCAGCTGAGAGATGTAATCCCTCCAGTGTGTCCTGGGTTTGCATGTCCTCCTCCCATTAGGACATGCTGGAAACATCTCACCTAGGAGGCATCCTACCCAGATACTTGAACCACCTCAGCTGGCTCCTGATGTGGAGGAGTAGTGGCTCTAGTCTGGGATCTTAGGCTGCAATTCCGATTTTTTGATCAAATCCGATCTTTTTGTCTGCTTGTTCACACTACAAATAATAAAATGTGACAGTTATTTTGTTATTTACATATGACTAATAATGATCCTTATTGCTGTTTTAGAGGAGCGGTGCTTCAAAGGTTAGTTGCAGATTTCTGTCAGAATCTGCAGATTATACAGTACAAATAAAATGTTCACGTTGTCTTCCCAACAGTTTCACTGACATCTACACGGGATGACCAGGAAGCGTTCACGATGTCTTACGTCACTGCCTTGTGTCAGTGACGTAAAAGACGGATTTAATGCGACATATATATAAAGCAGTCCGTGGTGCAAAAAAGGTTGAGGACAGCTGCTCCACATCACAGCATAAAGCTATAGCGGAGATTTCTTCACTTTCTTCATTTTATCAGTCGCTTCAGATCATTTTTCAAGGTCTTAAACAGACACATTTACTGTAAGTAGCTTTAATCCATTTTTAAACTAACAGTCTGCACCTTTAATACGCACAGCCCTACTCAGTGACCTGCAGCATGTGTGGAATAACAGTAATTAGTTTCCCTGTTAAAAAATCCAACCTTTTGTGCTGTTGTTAATAGGAAACAGCTGATACTCACTAATGTATTTTTATGTCAGCACAGCAGATGGACTTGGACACTCAGTCTTTTTCTTTCACTTTATCGTTAATATGAATAACTATAACCATATAGTTACATAGTTACGAATATCTACAATTATGACTATATTAACTGTACAACAATATTAACAGCTGTTGCTGTAAAACCATCAAAGTTTACAAAGGAGGGACGAATGAATGACTCCATTAAAACCTGTTAGATGTTACGCGGTGACAGTGAAATTCTGTTTTTAGTTTACTCTTCCACCACTTTTGCAAAAGACATAATAATGTGTAACAACTAACAAACACATAATTTGTGTAAATTTATTAATCGCGTTATTTGGGAGTGCTGCTAACAAGCTATTTTGTCCTGTTTAGTAAACCTGACACTGACAGTCTAAATTTGATACCTGTAACGGGTGGAACACCTGTTGTGTAGTGAATGACCTGTAGAGGGTGTAAAATAAAAAGCATAAATCTCACATGTCAGAATAACAAGTTTCTACAGCAATAAAGAAATAAAGAACAACCTGGTAACAATGTGTTGGTTTGTTTTTTTTAATAATAATTTCATATGAACACAAAGAGCCTCAATTGTTTTTGTTACCCAGTCATTTGCTTTGCCTTCTATAAAATGTGGATGTTGTCCTTTAAAAAACACAAAGTTAGAGCAAAGTGTGGATAGTTGTTATTCATTAAATGTCGAGTAAAACCAGCAAAAATATAAATCACATAGATTTTTGCCCAAAGACAAGGAAATTTAATGATAATTTTGTAATATTTGGCAACATTTCTGTCAATTTATTCTGAGTTTATAATTAAAATTCCACAGTTAAAATAATCCCTAGTATGTAGAAGATTACCAAGAGAAAACCGTCCTCGCTCTGCCACGAGTCCTGCAAAATGTTCTGATTCTACACGCAGTAACAAAACCTGTGGGGAAAAAAACCCTGCCTTGGTTCTTGCTCCTGAAAGTGACATCCAATTAATTTGAACAGAATCCTGCTTGGCTTGGCAGCGTCAGCTGGTGTCGGGCACATTCTGAACCCAGAGTCAAGTCCTCCATCCCTCCTAAAGGCCTTTTCATTGATGACATTACAGAGGTGAGAGAACGTGGCAGCTCGGAAAGGCCCGGAGAGCAAAGGTGGAATAGACCCTGGCAAACAGCCCAGCTTTTTGTCCCTCCCTCCTGCTTCTTCCTCCTCCTCCACCTCTCCTTTAACTCTCTCTCCTCTCATCTCTGTCACTCTCTCTCTCTGTCGAGTCATCTTTCCTCATTCTCGTCTCATCTTTTTACCTCCTTGCTTTTTCATTCCTTTCCTCTCTTCATTTTCCTCCTCCTGCTAACTCTGTCTCTCAGGTTGGTTTGTGATAGAGGGCAGTGATGTGCCGACTGTGATTCAGAACCTATAATTTCCACATGGAAACAGCATAATCATGAACCTAATCTGCATCACCCGACTGAAAAGAAAAAAAGGCCTCAGCTCCCTTCCTGCATTCCCTTTTCTCTGTTTATATTATCAAATATCTAAATACATACCTCTGTCTGTACGGTGTCCCCCTATCATTTCCCTCACATTGACACACACATACACACACTCATATACACACACTCATTCCTCAGTGGGGGAGTTGAGTGCCACCTTTAGTGTGGGCCTAATGTGGCAGAAAAACGGGGCCAAGGATCTCACTCCTCGGTCAGGAAGAACATCGGCCTGCCGCACAGCGAGAAGGAGGACCGGCTGGCTTGCTTTCGGATCAACATCAAGGTTAGCGCCGCTCCTCTACAGCTACGTTTGGGAATTTGGTATT